GGTCATGTCGAATAAGAGACGGAGCACCAAAACGTCTGTAGATGCATGCCTCGAACACCTTGGCCACAGTCAGGCCATCGGTGTCCGACATCGCTTTAGCGATCACAAACCCCGTAAATGAGCACTGTCATAGCAATAAGGCAATGTTCCCTCGACGAGATCTCGGTAGAGGGATCACAAAGTCCATAGACACCACCTGGAATGGTCGCTCCGCGAGCACATTCCCAGGCGAATAGCCTCTGAGCTGCAGTTGAGACATGATTTCACATGTTTCTCCACATCTGCGTAGAGACCGATCCAGTAGTAGTCGTGTTTTACTTTTTGGTAAGAGCGGACGACACCCTGGTGTCCTCCTTCGATTGAGTCATGACAGTTGTGTAGCACCTCTTGGATCATTGTGGTTGGCACCACAAGTCTCAACGACATCTCAGGCATGTTTTCTTCGGCCTTTCTTCTGTTCACATCCGTGCAATATAGGACATTGTCGCTTGACAACACGAAGTTGGCCGCCCGTCTCCAGGCTTGTCGGGCCTCTTTGTAAGTCATCGCTGTGGTTTCTCCTCTCAGGACGGCTTTCAGGTTCGACCACCTGAGCTCCTCGTCCTGGGCCTTGGCGATACGGCGTCTTCGCTCTTCTTGCACTGTGACCGGGTCAATGTCATCGGCTGTCGGTCGGACCTCAGTACTTGGTCGTTGCCCTTGCGTTTCCGAGTCTCGTTGACTGCCTCAGTTGCCTCAGCATTGGTCGTCCTTCAGGAACTTAGTCCTCGAAGTGCACATGTTTCTTCTTGGTCTTGATCTGACTCCGAGCTGTAGCTGAGACTTCAGCGCATTCTTGGTGCGCAAAATCAGCAAAGGTATTGCGTTGTAGCAGGATGTCGCTGCCCATAGCGTAAATGTAGCGTATCTTTCCATCTAGAATTTGAGCGAAAGTCTCGGAACTCGCGTTTTCGACCTTGATGTCGTCCGAAGACGGCTCGTAGATCATTTCTTGTATTCTGTTCAGTTCCTGCAGCGGTCACTACCTGCCATTCTGGAAGCTTCCACATTAGCCATGAGCAGTTACCGTAGCCACCATTCTTCTCCGTCTTAGCGGTACCATCAAAAGAGACCACAAACCCTTCATAGTCATGGGGCAGTTGAGCGTAGAGCAGACTTGGGTCCAACCGAGTACTCGGTGAACCTTTGGTAGGCGGTGCCACAAGTGCTAGCGAGTCGTCCAGATCCACGAAGTTAGTGATCGTTGACTGGAGCAACTGAGTAAACACGCGAGCTCGCTGCACCTCCGCTTACCATGGTGACAGCAGCACCGTAAACTGCACTGCTCGACCGAACAGCGCCTTAGATTTGTGAACCCATCCAAGTGTAGAGAATCGGGTGTACACATGCAGTGTCTTTCCCGCCAGCTGGGTGTAACACACCTTGAGTGGCAGCAAAAAAGCTAGGACTTCCTTCTCTGCCGAGTGATAGTTCATCTCGGGGTCCTTGAGGCCTCGTCCGCAAAAGCGGACAGGATGTAGTTTGTCGTCGTGC